AGAAATGTGTAGACCAAAAGATCGCCCGGGTGATCTTTAGGCAGATATTACAAAGCCCATCTTGTCTGAAAAAATAACCCTGTGCTGATAAAAGCGGAGGAAAAACAATGGCGATGGTAGCCACCCATAATGTTTATTCTTTGTTTGTATCACATTCCAGACAAAAAGTTCAAGATCGGTAAAAAAAAAAAAATGAGTGAACTAAAATGTCTGCTGCGTTTCACGTGTGACATGATTGTTTTTTTATTAGTTAAGCGGTCATGTACTTTCTATAAGTCTAACCTTGCACACATAATCTTGTATTGACATGTTTTTGGTCAATTTTTTTTTGAATAAATGATAAGTAACTATCGATTAGTCAAGCTGGGTGGCCTGAATTTGAATATCAGTGCATGAACTCTGGGTCAGTGCCCTAACAGTACCGTTGGATGTAACAATTATATTAGATCGATGCGTGGAGCATGCAAGTAAAAAGTTGCCGAAGTCAAACTTGTGTCAACACACACTTGATGTCTGCATCACCACGCAGCAAGTTTCTCAAAGAAGTACTGCGTCCCCAAACTGAGGTCTCTGATCACTCGGTTGTCGCAGCGCATGTTTTACTAGATACATGACTTTGGCTTGCTTTTCCTTCTTTAATACAATGTATTAAAACACTTTGAATTTATATTTTGCATGATTATATTTGTGTCTATGCGAAACATTAATCTTTCTAAACATTTTCTGAGATCATGCATATGACGTATATTCACAAAATAATGCACTCATGTTTTATGTTCTGTCTCTCGTGATCACTTTGTGATTTTATACCAAGGCTCAGGCAAATCAAATCCAAGCATTTGATGTCAACATTGTATAAATACCCTGTACATATACTAGAATTTTATCACCACTCAAACCAAACTACCCTTTTCAGAGCCAATATGTCCTACGAAAGAGTGTGCCAAGATGAGAGAATCTTTTTTTTTTTTTTTGTGTCAATTATTTTTTAGTGTCATATTTGAAATAGTACAAAAGATGTCAGACGGCCAAATTGGGGTCTGTTATGTGTGGACCAAAACTTCACCCACTATTTGAAACACGGCCCATATGCGGGGTATCAGCCAGATGCGGTATATATGCAAGGCAAATTGACAGGCGATACTGAACATTTACCTGATGCATCATCAAAACCACCACCATTACCAGCACGCATCTATTTATTTTTAAGAATGCAGAGTTTTTAAAAGCACTAGTTCAGTCAAACAAATAACAAAGGGTACCTTAACCATGATTTTGTGATTTATCTAGTTTAAAATCTATTTTGGTGGCAATTTTGAAATTAGTCAAAATTCTTAAGACTGAGGATATAACAACATTCAGTTAATTTATTTGTTTGCTTGATAGAAGCTAATGTTTAGGTACACGATTTTTATGTGGTATTTGACGTGTGAAACTGTCAAAAGTTTGCATTTTCATATGCAGTATACAATGGAGTAGGTCATACAGCGAGTGTTGTAAACACTTGCTATCTGGACCAAAACACAAAACTGTGGAAGATTTGCATTAAAAAACATTTAACCCCCATTATTTTTAATTCACAGAAAGGGAAATCATTGGCAGAAGAAGCCATTGAGATGATGACCAGTGGTAAGTGGAAATGCATGGGTATCTTATTTTGTCATAAGTTGAGTCTTCTTGGGCAATAAGATATTTTGAAATATTCACATAAGATTGTTTAATATTTGAACAGAATCTGTACCAGAATCATATGGAAAGAACTAGCAGAAGAAAGGAGAAAAGCACTTGAAGAAGCCCTTAAAGAAAATGAGCAGGTGTGTTTATATTGTATATTACTCCTAGACCAAGAGATTGGATGCATCATGTGTGTTGTATTGTATAGTATATACTATACTATACTATACAACACATGATTACATCACTTGTATATGCTTGCAATCATTACTTGTGGTATCAAAGTTTGCATAATTGAAATATACAAGTTATTTTGTACTTGCTACACAATGAATAGCAGCTACAGAAAAATAGTGTGAAGTGTGTTTGAAGTAAACATTTTAATGTACTTTGTATTTTACAAACTTTTTCTTACAGTTGCATGGTAAAGTTCAAGAATTAAAAACGGAAGTAATGAAGCTATCGGAGCTTGCCGGGCAAACAGAATACTTTGCTTCTATAATAAAGGTAGGTGGCCACGTTTAGCATGGATATTAAAATTGTGGGTCAGGGTGAATAATCTACTAATTT